CCAGGGAAGGCCCAGCAGTCTCCGTGGACACGGGTTTGGGCAATTTCTTGGGGCGCCAAGATGAAAGAGTGGCCTTTCCTTGCTGCCAGCCAGCGATACTGGGGACGCCAGCCCAGCTCCTCGGAGGCCTCCTGGCCGTCTGGCAAAGGGACACAAAGCGGGGGGACCCCGCCTCGCCTCCCCGTGTTCCCCAGCCTTCCTCAGACACTGTTGCTGGTGCCGCGGGGCAGCCACGGGGCCTGAGGCCAGCCCGCCGCTGCCTGGGGTAGATCTCACCTCCCCGAAGCCCCGCCGCCGAGCAAAATCGAGGTTCTGTCTCCCCCCATCCCAACCCGGCCCCACCCAGCGACTATCAAGGCTCCCCTGCCCCAGGAAACGGTGCAAAGAGCTGACCCGCAAAAAAATAAAAATAAAAATAGTCAATATATTTTATTTGGCAAAAAGTTAAATATCTCAACACAACAATTTGGTCAGTAGGCCTTGAATTAAGTATCACAAAATATACAGTGTGTGTTCAGCCCCGTGGAAACCCCGATTCACCAAGAGTACAGATCTACGGCAGCCCAATGGCGGTTTCATAGTGTATAATTTATTATCAATAAAATTAGCTCCATTACAGTATTATTCCCCCCCCTCCCCAGTTAAAATTAAACATAAACCATAGGTAGTAACCTTCTGCACATACGTAGAGCTCCGAATTTCCTCCCTGTTTGTCTGGTGCAAAAACCATGTTCAAGCTGGTCTGGTTGCCTTTTCTGGAACGTGTGGGTTATCTACACAATGGATGAGACAAGGTCCACAGAGCACGTAGAGACTAAAATGCCCGAATTTCAAGAGTGGAGAAACCCATGAACCTATGCATCCCAAAGAACCCGTTCTTTCTTTTTATTAAACATTTTATTTCACTGAGAAACTCTTACAGCTAATTTACAATCAAAGGTTAACAGCCTAGTTATACAGAAGACATATCCCACTACAGAGCTATCGTCTAGGCAATTGTTCCCCCCCACCCCACCCCATAAACAACCTGAGTTTGAATTGAGTCCTAGCTTTCACAATCACGACGGGCGCCTCGCCCAGCACAGAAGTTCTGAGTCACAAAACATAATTACCACAGTAAAACACAGTGTTCAAGTATCTGGGCAGATCGCTCTGCCCCACAAAGAGAGAATTAAATTAACTACACAGACTAAAAACTATACAGCCCGCAGTCAACAGTTGTGCATTATAAAAAGGTAGTTTTTTTTTTTTTTTAATTTGTTTGCTTGTTTGTTTGTGTGAAGTCAGGAACAGGTAGGTTTTATAAAATATATACAAGCTAACAGACACAGCCACCGGCGCCAGCTCTCCCTTGGGCTTCCACTTCTTTTTCATTCATTTATTTGTGTGGGTTGTTTTGTTTTTTTGTTTTGTTTTGTCTTAACAGAAAATGGAAAGCTTACAATACCTCCTCCAGGAAACCGGCAGGCCAAGGAGCCAGCCTGGGGAAGGTCTGCGCGAGGAGCCGAGGCCTGGCGCGGAGCGCGGCTCTGCGCGGGGTGCGGGAGGCCTGGGTGCGCGGCGGGAGGAGGGGCGCGGCCCTTTCTCCGTCCCCCTCGCTCCCTCGGCTTCCTCAGCCAGCTCCAGGGGCATCACTCGTCTTTCGCCCGGTCCTTGTTGATTTTCTTCATTTTCATCCTGCGGTTCTGGAACCAGATCTTGACCTGCCGCTCGGTCAGGTTGAGCAGCCGGGCCACCTCGTACCTGCGGTCCCTGGTGAGGTACATGTTGAAGAGGAACTCCTTCTCCAGCTCCAGCGTCTGGTGCTTGGTGTAGGGACAGCGCTTCTTCCGCGTGGAGCGCGCGTGCAGCCAGTTGGCGGCCGGGTTGCCTGCGTGGAGGAGAGAGGGGGGAGAGAAGCGGGATTTAGACGGACCAGCACGCCCCCTCCCCCTCTGCTGGGGGCTGGGGAGCCTCCCGGGGTCTTCGGCCGAAGCGCAGGACGCTGCTGAATGGGTTAGGGCAGGAGGCAGAGCGGCGGACACAATGGACCCCTGGCAGACAGACGCGGGGACGGTCACTTACAATTGCGCGCAGTAAAACTCGGCTCCCCCTCCCCTCAGAGGCCCTCCTTTCTCCCCAGTCCCCCCGTTCTTCGCTCTCCCCTCCCACTTCCCGAGCATTGTGTGAGGAGTGAAATTTGAAAACAGATCTTCTTGCCAGGCAGGGGGAAACCACGCTGCCCCGCGTCCGCGCAGCCAGGTTAATATTCTCGCTCTCCGCAACTCCGTGTGTCCGCCCTTCCCCGCCCGTCCCTCCGGTCTCCGCACCCCTTCTCTGACCCCCCTGGGAGGCCGGCCCGGCGCCTCCAGGCGCCCCAAGGCCGGGGATCACCTCCCCAGCTTATTAGAATAATCTGGCACCGGGGCCCTCGCGCCCGGGAGCTCGCAGCCTCCTCTCGGGCCGGATTTACGCCGCCACCGGCTGAGACAGAAAGTGGGGGGGCTCGGCCCGTCTTCCCGGCGTCCGGGCCGCAGTTGCTGCCGCTGCTCCCGGACAATCTACTCTCACAAAAGACACTCTCTGCGAAGCTGCTTTCGAAGAACAGCCCAAAGTATCTCTGCCCCGGTCCCGGGCAGCCGGGGAGAGGGACGGCTGGTCTTGGCTCGCCCGCAGCACCCGCCCCGCCCCCTCTCTCAGTAGCNNCAGCCACCTCCCCTCCCCCCCAGCCCGGCGGCCCCGCTCGTCACAGCTCCGTGGACTTGGGGCCCCATCCGAGGCGTCCCAAACAGCAACTTCTGGCTCCGGGGCCTCTGCTCTGGAGGCTCCCCGGGCGGGCGACGGCAGGCTCGAGAGAAAGCTGGCGGGCCGGCAGATCCGGGTGGCCGGCGTGGAGGCGGCGGCCGGCTTGGAGGGAGGAGACACTTACTGGGGTCGATGGGGGGCTTGTCTCCGCCGCTCTCATTCTCAGCATTGTTTTCGGAGAAGGCGCCTTCGCTGGGCTGTTTTTCTCTATCAACTGAAGGAGAACCACAAGCATAGTCAGTCAGGGACAAAGTGTGAGTGTCAAGCGTGGGACAGTCACCCCTTCTGGCCGACAGCGGTTCAGGTTTAATGCCATAAGGCCGGCTGGAGGGCAAGCCCGCGAAGGAGAGCGCGCCGGGCGTGGGCTCCAGCCAGGAGCGCATGTACCTGCCATCCGGCGCCGCCGCCGCCACGGGCGCCTGGGGGTGCACATAGGGGTGGTGGTGGTGATGGTGGTACACGGCTGCGGGCACCGCGCTGGCGCCGGCCGCGTGCACCGGGCTCCACGAGGCGCCGAACACCGCCGCCTTGGACTGGAAGCTGCACGGGCTGAAGTCGGGGTGCTCGGCCAGCGCCGCCGCCTGCCGGGGGGGCTGACC